TCATCTTCCTTCGTTATGTGGGGATTTGTCAAATAATTTGCATGAGAAGTAGAGGTTTGGAATTTTTGTTACTGAGATCTCAAAAGATTCCTCAAGTATTCAAGAGGCATTGTCATCTTCATATTCTCTGTGGGTAAAAAAAGAAAAAAAAAACGAAGAAGTGGTGAAATTGAATTTTAGCAAGCTAGTGATCGTTTCTAGGATAATAGAGGAGTAGGATCAAACATCTCAAAAGGAATTCATGTTGGAGGAAGCTTATACTAAAATACTTCGTACAGAGAACTCGTAAATGATTCTATCATCTAAGCCTAACAGTGGTTTGGCTGGACAAACAAATAATTACAAAGGTAACAGAGGGGCAGGATCAAACATCTCCCAGGGAATTCTCAACACTCGAAAACCAAATTCAATGTTGAGTCATTATTGTCATAAGCTAGGTCAAAATAGTAACATCAAAATCTATTTACCAAACTCACACCCTCAATAATCCAACAAAAAGAATATATTCCAAAAGACTATTTATAGACCTAGGATTACTACCGAAGAGTGGTCTCTTTCTATTCAAAGAAACCATGATGCCCTTGTTGATTTATATTAGTTGTAAATATTTTAGTTGTGTAATCATTAAAGGTTTTATTCTTATTCTTATTCTTCTTTATTGGGTTTTTCCCCCAAAATAGAAGACTATAGATCTTACTATTATTTTTTCCATTTACCTGATCTTACTATTTTATTATTGGAATATAAAATTACTAAACTCCCCTAGTTACCAAAATTTTACGAGTCCTCTAAACTATTTTACTTGATTCATAGTGACGCTTGAATAGTAGTGGACATGGATAAGTCCCTTCTAACATAGTGAATAATAGTGAACGTTCATGACCTTTATTGACAATCACACTCGCTTGTCTTGGGTCTATTTATTGACAAAAAAAGATTAAATGATTTTTAAAATATGACTGAAACTCAATTTCAAGCCAAAAATCAGCATTTTGCATTCTAATGATGAAACTAAATCTTTCAATGAACATTTGAGTGGGTTTTTAAAAGATAAAGGCATCGTTCATCAATCTACTTGTAAAGACACCTCTCAACAGAACAAAATGGACTGCTAAGCAAATAAACTAGGCATCTATTGGATGTTGCTCGAGCCATATCGTTTTATGTGCATATTCCAAATTACAAATAGTAGAAGACTCAACGAAATGAGCAGATCCAATTTGAATGATTCTGAAACATTGGGCAAACAATCTTCCATTCTTGTCTCTCCAACAATTGAAAATGTCCAATTGTTGTTTCTATCTAGATGTCCATATTGCTTTGAGAAAAGTTACTTGAACTTGCACTTGCACCCAACACTCTATTGTAAACTACATCTCATATCAAAATTTTCAAATAGTCATAGAGTTTTTACCTCTAGGATGACCAACTTGCTTATTCCCAGTAACAAACGGGAAGCTCTAAATGATCCAAATTTAGAAACTAACAATTACGAAAGAGATAAATGCTCTAAGACATAATTGTACATGAGGAATAGTAGATTTGTCAAAAGACAAGAAACTAGTGGGTTTAAATGGGTTTTTACCATAAAATGTAATAGTTATGGCAATGCTGAAGACATAAGGTCAGACTAATTGCAAAAGATTCACTCAAACCTATGGACTATCATGAAACTTCAGTTCATGTTGCTAGAATTAACTCCATCCTAATAATTTTATCAATTGAAGCAAACTTAGATTGGTCCCTTCACTAGCTCGATGTAAAAAATATTTCTCTTAATGGTGATCTTGAAGAAGAAACGTTTATGAGCTTACCACTAGGTTGTGAATTTTTTCTCAAGAAGAAGAAAGTATGTCGATCAAAGAAATCTCTACATGGGCTCAAACAATCTCCAAAACATGGTTTGAACAATTTAGAAAAGTGGTTATGAGCTTAGGGTTTCTTCAAAGTCAAGGTGATCACACCCTCTTTTATAAGCATTCTGCAAACAACAAAATTGTGATTTTTATTGTCTATGTATATGACATTATTCTAATAAGATATGGTGAACTAGAATGGTTCACTTTAAAGAAAAAACTTGCAAGTGCATTTCAAATCAAGGCCTTGGAGAACAACGTTCCCATGGTCCAATGGTTAGGACATTGGACTCGCTTACTTAGATTAAAGGCGGTTGAGACTCTTATTGAGCCAAAGTTGAAAAAATGAAAGCTGCATAATAGGAAAATTAATTTATCTGTCCCACACATGTCGTGATATTGCTTTCATTGTGAGCATGGTAAATCAGTTCATGCACTGTCCTTTGTTTGAGTGAATACAGTTCATACTATTGGAGGTAGATCCATTCAAACTTAGTAGTCTTTCATTTGGCTATTTATCCTTTGTTGGAGGTAAATTAGTCAATTCACCAAGCAAAAAACGAAGTGTAGTGGCCAGAAGCAGCATTGAAACAGAATTTAAGGCATCATTCTCTGGTATCTATGAAGGCAAATGGATTAGAAGACTAGTTAAAGAATTGAAAGTTTTCAGAAAATACCAATACAGATTTATTGTGACAATAAGGTTACATCTCTATATCCCATAATTCAATTCAAACGAAGTATACCAAAGTCGACAGACATTGCATAATATTAGAACAATAATTAGAAATACATGCCTGATATTATGGCGACTTTGTCGTATGTTGCACCTGAAACATCCGCTCGTAGAACGACTTTCACCTGTATTGCCATAAAAGGATTGGTCAAAATTAGCCTCAGTATTACAAGACCATTCCCAAATCAAATAGGCTGGAAAAATATAATAACCTTAGGAAAACCATCCAAGTACTGTAATCCAGGATATGTTTCCACCAAACCCTCAATGAATTCCGTCACCACATCTGAAATGCATCCACATAAGGAAAAAAAAAACAGTTAAGTGAGTCATCGCTCATTTAGATGCAGAATATCTATCAGATCAATAAAGAAAAAACGAAAAAGGAGAAAAGGAAGAGGCTATGGTCCAATTCTCGTCATTTCATCAACTCTAAAGAGTCTAGAGACTGAAGGATCACATATACTCTTTGCAACTATCAACCAAAATTTAATGTAGCCACTCTCCTACAACCAAAATCTATCTAGTAATTCTCCAAAAAATGCTAGGAGATGAAAATCTCTGAATCGTGAAAATTTGAAACCCAAGAGGTGAAGATTATCCTCGAGTGCTCTCTTTAATAAGGTTGCCTCATTTTCTTTAAACCAATTAATCAGTCCTAGGAGAGAATGGTGATGGAGATGAATTTTGGCTTTTCTCCTGTTCATCAACTTGAACTTCATTCTTCTGTAGCTGATGTTAAGTTTCCATGGGGATTTAGGATCAATACTCATAACCGTGTTAAAATCCGAATCATTGGAATGAATGTTGTATGTCCATATACGTATACCATGAGTGTCAAAGGGACTATCCAGAAGTCAACTCTAAGAAGGGCAATATTTAAATTCGACCAAATCGAGAATCTCAAAACCTCCATAGGAGTGGCATTGGATCTAGAGACTAATCTCAGAAATTCAATTAACATAATGAGGCTTAAGATTTCAGAAGAAAACAATGCATGGCATAACTCGATAAAATTACTTAAATTCGGCGCAGACTTCTCAGATAAAACCCAAATAAGCAAGAGACATTTCTCGTCACAAGCAGGTGAATCAAAAAAAAAAGGAGGAAAATAAAATAATAAAGAACTTGAACTTATTTGCCAAACATTCTTAGTCTTTCATTCGTTTGCGCGCATATATAGGACTACAACATCGTCCTGACGCTTCCATCGAATACAGCAGTGAAGTTAATAAAAGAAGGGCAAAACCAAAAATGACTGATAATCAGAAATTTCGGGTTTCCATAAACTAATAGTACATGTGAGCAAGCATGTTGGAGGGCTGTTAACATATTTTGTTTTCTATCTGCTTCATCCATTGCAAGTATTTGATATGCAAATATAAATAGAGATAAATCGGAGATAGATGATGCAGAGTATATTAGCAATGAAGACAAGTAGAAGCTTCCTCAATTATTGTATCTCGATACTGAATCAGCAGACAAGCAGAAAGTCAAACAAATGAAATCGGCGATGGATGGGGATGGAAAGGGGAGATGTAAAAGGATCAGGGAGAGAAACAATGCCGAGCAGGAGAACTGACCGTCGGGCTTGTTGATGAGCTTCTTTCCTTGAAAGGCCATGCCAGCGTCCAGAGGTTTCCTTGCCTCGGTCGATCTTTTTTAACTTGGGAGCTCGAAACCTCGAGCCTCTTATTTCCCGGGTTGTTTTTTTTCCACTATTCGCGTCCAGTGGATAAACCATCCTTTTCTTTCTATTTTTACCTCCGATTATACGTTTGTATTATAAGGGTATGTAAAACTAAATTTTTATTACTATGTTTGATTTAAGGTCTTATATACGGTGAATTGGACAATTTGTTATTATTTTTAAGCTGAAGTTGCTTAAATATATTGATTTTTGTACTAAGTTACAATGTGACAAAATAACAAATTGTTATTATATTTAAAATAAATAGATAAATATATTTTTTTTTTTTCTCCTTCGTCCTCCCACTTTCTACCTCATTTCATCCATCTTCTCCTAATTATATATATTTTCTATCTTCTAATTATTCTTGTTCTTCTCATTCTCTTATCTCCTACTCTTCCTTTCTCCGCTTCTTTTCCAAATATTACAAAATATATATCTATACATTATAGATGTAAAGCTAATCAAAACTTTTAATTTATTTATTTTTGACATTAAAACTGATAAATATTAGTAATCTTTTTGAGTTGCTAAAAAGGATTGAATAAATATTGAACTTTGTATCATATTCATGTGACTTCGTATGTTACGCCTCTAAAATTATATGAACTTGTTAAGTATCGTTTAAAGTTCCTGTCCATCAATTTTGACATTCTGTCTTTAAAAAAATAAGATAATTTTAAAATGTGAAAATGTAAATGGTTGAGTTAAACAAAACATATACAGTTAACATTACATTCGCTGGAGGCATCCATTGTCCAGAATGCACGAGTAAGTTCATGTCTCAATTCATGACAAAATGAAACCTGGAGTCCACATACGTCTCCACATCCCACAGGAAAGAACCGAAAGTCACGGCTTCCAAAACTAGTCTCTTCAACCCACCAAAGCTGATTTTGATAAGCTCGTCTTTGGAGGTATCTACTGTTCCTTGCGGGGTGATTGCAATCTGGGGTCTTCCAAACAAGGCCTCCGTGTGTCTCTCAATGATGCTAACGGCCTCTTTTGACCTTATTGTGGCAAATCTCTGCAGTGTCTCCCCATCAAATGACATTACGTATGTTCGCAGTCGGGAGGGCTTGATCCCCATACCCGACTCCCCAGGACTAACATCTCCCTGTTCAGCTGCCATGGAAGAGATTTCAGGATGCACTGGTGCATTGGAGAAGGAGCCCTCAACAGTTGCACTGGCTGGTAGCACTTTCACAGTCTTCTCAAGCTGAAATCTCTCATCCACTCGCTTGAGGAAGTACCCATACATCACAGACGCAGCATACACCTGCCCCACTCTTAGTTTGCTTATCTGCGCTACTGACGCAAAGTCACCAATCCGATTCCCCAAAACCAGCGCTAGGTGGTTCTGAATCATTTCGCTTGCTTCCGACGAGTGAAGCCGCTCCAGCTTTTCATCATCTCGTGCCCATGTGTCAACTCGGCCATATGGATCCGTAGACGACGGGGCAACAGCTGGTATTAGAGGAACATCGGCGTCCATGAATCGTTGCACCACCATTGCATATAATATCTCTTCTAAGGCCCTCTTCCTTTCAATTGCCTTAACCTCAGCAATCCTCCTAACAAATTCAAACGCTAAGCGACGTGAGCAGGGTTGTCCAAAAAAAAAAAAAAAAAAAAAAACAAGCTTCATCAGCTTCGGTGCTCTTCTAATCGAACAATATGCTTCAATCGACTGTTAAAACATTTTCGTTCCTAGATCCATCCTTACCTGTTGACACTCGGCCTCTAAGGGATGCGGAACTAACCTGTACAAGACAATGTCATGAGTAGCTGAAGCGGAGGGCTCTTGAGTTAGTTCTTCAGCATGACGTTGGGTCTGCAGCTGTTGAAGCTGCTGGTCGACGGCTGCAGGAAGAAGGTGGGGATGGGTAGTCAGGATTTGAGACAGAAACTGGCCAATTGGAGACTGGAGCCGAAGTGGAGCAATTTGGGCAGCAGAACCATCCGGATCCGGAGACAGAGACGCTTTAACCATTGGGAATCCCAATCCCCGACCCCGGCCACTACAGGGGAGAGTAATCGACTTCTTTCCAAGTTTTGATGGAGAAACGAAGGACCGATAATGCTGCGATGCGACAACGGAAAGTTGGGAAAAAAAACAGAAGATATCAAAATGAGATACACAGAAATTGACTATGAAATGATTGATAAATATGGAGTGAGAAATACAAGAAAAATGATTCCAGCTTACAGGAACAGAGATGAGGGATTCGGAAGGAAAATAAAGGGAACGGGAGGCAGGGGGCCTGGGGGCGGTGTCCCGAAATGGCGATCCAATTCCAATGGCAAGGGTTGAAGTTGAACCAGTGGCTGCTTCCATGGCGGTGTCTCTGAGTAGTGTAGTGTTGTGTCGAATGGATCTGCAAAAGGCATATGAAAATTGATGAAGGGAGCGAAACTGAATGAATAGTTTCATCGAGCGAGGGAGTATGAAAGATACAAACCTGGGAAGAAGAAACTAGAAACTGGAGAGTGTGGTGCAGTTTGTGGAGAGGAGATGTTTATAGAATGAAATTGTGAAACACGTTTGGGCACGCGTATGTTTGTGTATGAATGGACGGAGAGACGGCAACGACATGCAAAAGAAAAAAAAAGATCTTTGTAGGCATCTCCTAATTTCTGTGGACACTCTTGGCTTTCTTCTCTGTGCATTACATCAAGAAAACTAGATAGAATCTATTAACACATATTCTCCACCACAATCTTTGAGAGGTTTGGATCATTCCTAATTTTGAATTTAAAAAATAAAATAAACAAAACATACAATACCATAATCCTCAATACATATATGTAGAGATTAAATTATATTTGAAGCTTCTAAACTTCATCATCATGCATAAAAATCCAACTCCAACTAATTCAAACTAATTTTGTCATATCCTTCTTTTTATTCATTCAGATTTTAAGTCAATTTAATTTTTTCAAAATTTTTGTAAAGAAATATATTCTGACGGTGACAAAGAATCAAATTAATTTGAATGAATGAATATTTACAAGACGATGATCTGTTTTAGATTGTCCAGTCCTACGGCCCCATATTCTTTCTTCCGAATCATAGGAACTGTATATCCTGTTTTTTTGGATGACCGAAAGGAAGAACACTACTTCCTCGTTCCTGGCCTTTTAAGTTTACGCTATGCCAAGCCACAACTAAACCTACATGATCCAGATCTCCTAAAGAAAGAGGCCAACCCATGGCTGCTTAAAAAAGATGACTGTTTTATGAACAAGGCGTTTCGTCATCCAAGTTCTGCTCAACTTCTGATTGTCGTATGAGTAATAAATCTAAAGCCTCTTTCATCCACATGTGAGGGCAAACTTCTCTGGCTTTCTCCACACTCATCTACAAGTTCCATAGGAAATTCAGTTAGTAAGAGATGATGATAAGAACACTTTCTACCTTGGAACAATATTTAGATACCCGAGGCAGGTAGTGGAGTTGAGACAGACTCACCCATTCTCGCTTTCGGATATCTTTCTCCGGCCAATTTTCCAGTTGTTTCGTTACACGCAAAGCGAACATGTAGGCTTCATGCATCTTCGCATGCCTCTTGCTCTTGTAATACCATTTGCCTAATCTGCTCTGTAAAATAAAATTTAATTTGAATTTGGATGAACAAAACTTGCGCTACACAACCAATTATGGAATCCTAGATTCGAAATACTAACTTCGATGTTGCCAGTCACTCCAGCTTCCTCGAATGTCTCTCTTGAAGCTGCGGTTTCCATTGACTCGTCGTTTTCCCACCCACCCTGCATTTTCGAATGAAAAAATATTGAGTATACAAGAGAGAGGGTGAATGATCCACGACCAAATGTTCAACACTTTCATTCGGCCTAAAATGGTACCTTCGGGAACAACATTGCATGCCCTTTCTGCGAACTAATCACAAGAACTTCTATATTGTCAACCGAAAACGATTTCTGGGCGTCTTTGTATCTGTAAGGAATGCATCTGAAAACAGAAAACCCCCAAGAAAAAGTCCGGGGATTAATAGTAAATCAAGAAATCGATAAGATTTTCCTGGCTACAAAAGAAATCCCAAGATAAAAGGAACGATACACAATTTGCAAATGAGAGCCTCATAACAACGCGTAAAAGATGGTGTTTAATTAATTAACCATCCAAACTACCCCTAGAAATACAAAATTTGAGAAATCCACAATTGAGAGGGCTTCATGGCACGTAAAATTTCAACATTTTCTTAACAAGCCCAAAAAGAAAGGGGAAAAAACGAAAGGAAGAAACATACCCTACAACCAGGCGATACTCTTTATTGAAGCGCTGCCTGTGTCTTCCGGTACGGGCTGACACCATGGAGACCATGTTTTCAATCTGAGAAGGGACGAGATTCGTAGGGATTTTCTTGGATGAGAAGAGGGAAGAGATGAGAAAATTTACAATATTTCTGGAAAGAAAGAGACCCATTTTATCGGAAAGAAGGAAGAGTGAGGAAATTATTTCTTTCCTCTGGTAGGCGTGGGGATTATTTTATTTATCCTTTTAAATGAACTCAAAGAAAATATATGAATAAATATTTTGGAGTTCTTGCAATTTCTATCCGACCCCTCATTCCTTAATAAAGGACGCACGCACGCAACCAAGAAGGGGGTGAAAGAAGAACGTTGAGGGAAGGACAAGATAAAAGAAATAAATAAATAAATAAATAAATAAATGCAAAATTGAGGCTCAGTTGGAGGGTTAGGAATCTGTCCCAATTTCTAACACTACAAAAGATTCCAAAATTGAATGGAAGAAGAAACCACTTTTCTTTGTCTGTCTGGGAAATTAACTTAAGGAGCCTGCTAAATTTAATCCGCCACTCTCTGAGAGCATGGTAGACACGAGGCGCGAAGGAAGGGGAGCATGGTTAAGATTATTATATTACACGTGTATGTGTATGTGTATGTGTATGTTAAATATAAGCACGTAATCCAACATACCCATGTTTATCATGCGATCAATGTATTAAAATCTCCCCTTTTAAATGATGTAGAAAATGATGTTTATATGCCAGAAAAGCAATTTGCAATATAGGGGTTCCTTCCAGGGAAAAAGAAAAAAGGAAAAAAAGAGAGCCTTTTATTATTCGGGTTTCCTTGGTTGCAATATAGGGGTAACATACTCGTTTAGCAGAGGGATTTTCTCATATGATAGCAACATATTGGGAGACTCATGATCCACCCTATAATATAAATATAAACAAATGGGGAGGGTATAGATGAATTATTAGTCTCAGATTGTATATGGTTTAGGCAATGGCATGCCTTTGACCAAACCGCATACCAAAGTCTTATCCGGGATGTTGTATTCATCTCTAAGAGAGCGAGCGGGTGAAAGAACGCTGAAGTATAACTGTTGTCCCAAGTAACGATTCTCTGTCAATTCTGACCTCAAGTTCCACATTCCAGCATTGTCTAATGTAAGCAGAATGGCTGCCCACGATTTAGGAAAAACTTGGATTGTATGTCTGCTCACGGCATCCAGAAGATTATAATTCTTTCGCTTCTCTGGAGTCCATCTCCCCGGCTCAATGCTGTGAATTATCGATAAAGAAATCATTAGATATTAGAAAATATTAATATCTATTGGTATGGGTTATTATTTATAGGCGTTGATACTTACGCAACCGCGAAAAAGGAGTGGCCATCCAAATGCCATGACTGGAGACTCTTTTCATGGTTCTCAAATATAATCTCTATGAAGTTGCGGAAGGTTGCGTTAACAACATTTGGAGCAATTTTAACATTATTTCCACTTTCCGCCAATCCTTCATCAGAAATTGTATCATATTTGAAGACCTTTTCTGCAACTCCGAAGTACTCTGCAAGCTTTAGTGGAGTTTCAGGGTCAATATGAGAGACTCCATTGATGGCATATCGCAACTTACCATCAACATTTGCGACCGAATTGAGTATCTTGATGGTGCGAGTAATGTTGATGGAACCATAGTGATATGAGCCCTGAGGATTAGGCCTAGCAGCGCTGGCAGTAAGGTTCCAACGGAAGGTACGAAATTGATTGAGGGACCAAGCCCAACCGATGGGTGCCTCAGGAATTTCATGAGAGGCGATACCATTCCCATTGGTGTATCGAACAATGCCTTTACCGACAAGAAGGTTCTTAGTGAATCGACTTGATGCAATCATGTAATAGTCTTTAGGGTCTTGGTTGGCTGTGACTAGCACTGAAAAGCATTGTCCCACATGGACATCAAGTGATTGGTAAGTGTTTTGGACAGTATGAGAGCCCTCCATCTCTACTAACTTCATGGTGTGGCCTTGGAACCTAAAGTTAAGAGATACCTTCAGTCCAACGTTGCAAATTCGGTACTTGTAAGTCTTCCCAGGCTTCATGGTGAAGAGTGGGTCATCAGTCCCATCACCCTTGGCAACTTTGCCGTTAATAAGGACACCGTCGGGTCTAGCAAAGGAACGCCCACTATCCAAGAACCCCTTAAGCGTAGAATGGCTGTTGATGTACCAATCACCAATAAGGACAGTGTAATCATCTTCAGGATCAGCATAAGGGACAGGAATGAGTAAACGGCTGTTGACACGAAGACCGCCAAAGCCTCCTGCAGCCCTATGCATGGCTGTTGATGGGTAGTAGAAGAAGCTTCCAATTTGATCCTTAACCTGGAAATGATAGGTGAAGTTTGTCCCTGGTGGGATTGGGCAATTGGTTCCAAGTACTCCATCCTGCCACGAGTTCTTTCTGTGTTGGACACCGCTCCTGCAATTCAAATTTCATTTTTTATTTATTTATTCAGCCATTGAATGAAGAAGAAAGACATTTAATTGGCGGATGTAGATGTAGACGTAAATATGAATACAAATACAATAGTGTACCAATGCAGAAGGAAGGGTTCATCCAGATTATTGAAGACATTAATAACTAGGTTATTGTTGGTTGTGGAGTTGATATCAGGTCCGGGGAATTGACCGTTGATGAGAATGCCTTGTTGGGGAGAACCCAAGGGGGAGATGGTGCCATAGGTGACATTCCACGTGAAGAAGAAATAAGGGTCCTCACCCCGGACGGTTGACATTGCTGCAGCCAAGAGGCAAATTAGCAGCAGCATGGTAAATCTCAACCCAGCCATCTGTCAAACCACTGCTCTTTTTTATCGAGCAGCCTCTTTACCCTCAAAATCTACCCCCAATATTGCTAGAAGATGGCTTCTTATCCCGTTCCCCAATGCCTAACCCTTCCATTCCTCCACTTATATATACGTTTAGGCTCAACTTCTGAACCGTTCAAAAACTCCTAGTTTTTCTCCAACTTACTTTTTCTAGCCTTGCGTATTCCCCTACGAATAATGACCACATCCCTCTCAAACTCCAACAAATATTTACTTAAATTAGAGCTCGACTCTCCATAATACGTGGAGTCCAAAACACGTACAATGATTTCCAAATTCAAGCAAAATTATTAGAAATAAAAATGTTCTTGGATTCAGTTCTTTCATGAGAAAAAGGAAAGATGAAATTCAGTTTATAGAAATTATAATAAAATAAACATATTTTTTTAAATGGAACAAAATGATAAAATGGTGTTGATATATTACAACTTAATCATAGGGTCGGCTGGATTGGATGAGAACGACCCCGGAGTGATCGAACGGCCAAATCTCCACGGTAATTGAATCAGACATGAACCTTCTTTTTTTCCTTAGTTTTGGTGGCGGTGGCAAATTTGTGGTGGCGGTGGGTCAAAACCGTAGAGCTTTGAGGAGCATTAATAGAAATGTTGTAGAAGCTCCTGTCCCGTACGTAGTCCTCAAAGAAGGCCTAACAGAGTAATTCTTTCATCTCTGTTTAGTTCCTAAGAAAATTATGGAAAATGAGAATCCTCTTGCTTCTTTTGTTTCTTTCTAGTGCTTATAATTTGATTCTTTCTGTGTCTCAACTCTAAAACTGATGTTGTTCTCAACAATGAAAACCCACCGGTTCCGATTCACCCACCAATCACTCGGTTAGTAAGCCGGCCTCTTTTGTGAGTTCAATATGACTGCCTGCAATTTCAGCTTCTTGATCTGCCTTTTGTTGTGGTTTGTTTTAGGAAACCACTGGAATCGGAATCTGCTGCTGAGGATGATTCCACGGGCGACTCAATTGACAGGATGGTAAGAATTGAAACCCTTCTCTTTTGGTATTACTACTTGAACTTGCTGCCATTGACGCGATTTCTTAATCCACCGGAGAAGTTGGAAATTGAAGATATTGACAGCCTTGATAAGAAGGATCCACTTTGTGTTGTGGAGTACATCGATGACCTGTATACATACTACAAGGCAGCCGAGGTAACAATCTTCCAGACAAGACACGTTGTGTCTGAAACATAAATCCATGTTCACTTTTTGTTTCTGATCAAGATGTTCCTCCTCCTCGCAGGTTTCTGTCTCTATTCCACCAAATTACATGGCCCAACAACTACATATTAACGACAGGACGAGAGGGTTTCTCATTCACTGGCTAATAAT